CTTCAGATGGTTTTGCTCGATCGAACTTATTTTTCTCCTTGAATTGAGTTCGAGGATCAAGTTCATCTTCTTCTTTGATTGGTTCTTTTCCTGGGCGTCTCCCATGATCTTGAATCAAATCATTATTGGATTTTTCTGACTTTAAAGTTAAGTCGAGTTCGATCTCGGTGATATCGGATTCCGAGTTGTCAAGAGTTGGATGTTTCTCTTGGTTTTTCTTGATATTTTCAATCATATGTATTGGAGTACGTGATTCATGCCAAGGTTTAATCCACACCATTCCACGAGCTTCATACTGGTCCCCATAATGAGTTCCTTCTCCATAGTTGGTGGGAAATTTCAAAGCATAATGAAAGATCGAGACAGCTGCACGAAGTTTATATAGAGCTGTCCTTCCGAAAATGGCATTATATTCGTTTTTGAGATCCATCACCTTGAACGTCTCCATAATGACTTTTGAAGCTTGTCCAGGAATTCCAAACCGAATTGGCATAGTAATTTCACCAATAGTCGATGTAATCGTGCCATTAAAACCTTGTACTTGATCTTTGCAGGGTTTCAATTCAGCTGGATCTATTCCCATTTGTTCAAACGTGCGTAACATTAAAATGCTTGAATATGCTCCTGTATCCACTAGTATGCGATGTACTGGTATACCACAAATGGGTGCCGTTATCACTAGAGGATCAGCATGTGGGTGAGCGAAATAGCTAGCATCATCCATACTGAATGTTATTGGGCAATTATTTCGAGCATTAATTTTATCCCGAAGGTCAGTTGCCAAAAAAGTCGTACCCGAATTATAAGCTTTTCGAGCATATGCTTTCATTTGTCGTCGTGATTCAAACGACGTATTGCTACTGTTATTGACTCGGGTAACATGATGAGAATCATCTGGATTAGAGTATCCTCCTTGTTGAATCGTTTCGGAATTTTTCAACGAATTATTTTCTTTCGAGTTCACCACGAATACTTCTTTATCACTTGACTTCACCCTCTTTCGATTAATTGGACGACCATCATCTTCATCATCATCTGGTAGGTCTAACAATCTGCCCTTTCGTTTATAATCAGCATTTTTGGCAAACCTTTGGACTTGAGGGTGTCCAATGAGTCGTAATAAGGCAGAAAGTAAACCAAGACATTCATCAGTATCATGACCTGCCGACTTGTGATATGAACAATATTTCGTCTTATCAAGTCTTTCTTCTGGAGTTCTCACAGGTCGTGGATCAGGAAGGATTCCTTTCCCTTTCAATTCTTCAAATATAGTTGCTGCTCCTGCTGAAAAAACCGCCTGATAACTGGATTTGACTTCGTTAAGGTATTTGGTTCTAGCTTCTTGCACCTCAGGCATCTTAGGATTCCCAAATCGAGATTTATTTTGCTTGAAGAATTTATTTTTCTTCTTTTTCGATTCTTGGCCGACTTCCGACTTATGTGAAGAAAAGTCGATGGCAGGAACCGACATCGATTCTTCAGCTATAATATGTTGTTGAGCTCGAGCTAAGAAGTCTTGAAATGACGTCGATTTATTCTGACAGATACTCCAACGGAACAAAGAATTTGGCTTCAATCCGGCTATGGCTGTGACTAACAACGTTTCAGGATGACATTGTTCCATATTTTGTATTCGTTCATTAAACCGACCAATATAATCTTTCACGCTTTCATCATCTTTTTGCACAATATTAGCAATCGATTCTTTGGGGATTAAAGAGACTCGGGCCCCAATAAAATGAGATCGAAAAGCCGTTCTTAATTTTCGCCATGTGGAAATTGAACACCGGGGTAAGGAATGATACCATTTTTGGGCTCGAGGTCCCAAAGTTAATGAAAACATCCGACATCTAAGTGCGTCGGTTGCTTCGTGGAGATCCATCCATGAAGTGTATTGACCAAGATGAGCATCAGGATCAGAGGTACCGTCATATAGACCAATTTGAGGAACCTTAACTTTGACAGGAAGTGGTTCTCTAGTTAAATGAGGAGCCAAGGGAGTCTCAACCTCTTGATACACCTCTTCCGTCATAGGAATGTGTCGTCGAGATTCCTCACGATCATCTTGCCGAGTTTCTAATTCGGAAATTCTTCTTCTTAACATCTCCAATTCCTCCGACTCATGTCTTAAACGATTCCTTTCGATAGTACGACGTAACTCATCATGCTCACGTCGGACGCGATTTCGTTCAAGAGTACGTCGCAAATCGGATGGTTGACCATGCTGTAAAGTCTCCGGCAACGAGGGTGCCGGGCGTTGCAGTCGACGCCTAGAATGACTTTTAGCGGTTACTTCTGGTTGAGCTGCTTCTGGAACATGATTTTGAACAGGAACTACTCCACGTTTATGGGTCTCGGGTATTTGTGGATGGGAAGTTGCATGCGATGCAGCAGGAATATCATTTTGCTGTCGAACATGTGAAGGATGAGTTTGATTATGAACAGCTGCAGTTGGTTCTGCCCTTGTTTGTGCCATAAAATCAGTTAAATTTCTCAAGAACTCTGGATCTTGAAATAAAGCAGAGTAATCTATCGGCATAGATGGCACAGTTGAATTTTCAGTCGTGTAAGCAGGGTGACGATTGGTTCCAATATTTTGATTACGTTCGTGTCGCCCAGAACTTGACATGATTTTTGTGTATGTTTATAATTAAGCTTTATACAAAGACAAACAACAAATCGAAGATTCGGAGGTTCAGGCCGCCCTCCTTCTAGCGCCAAACTGTTGTTGTCTAGAATTAACAACTTGAAATTATAAACAGCAAGGTGTGCTTAAATAAAGATTAATATAAAGTTGGATTTTATTGAAATATTCACAAGAGTACAGGAGTCGGTTTTTATATTCTTAACCGAGATTCTTTTTAGCCCATGTACAATGTGTTCTCTAAAGAAAAGAAAAGAAGATCCTCGTACTATCATAAATTCTGCTATTTATAGTACGGTAGTTTTTGTCTTCTTGCTAGAGATGGATAAGAACGTATTTAATGTTGAGCAGCTTCAACAAAGTGATGTGTTTTTGATTTGGGGAACATCAATGATTGCTCTATCATCCTGACGATCCAATCACATGCTTACAGCTCTATCCTTTGCTTTGATATTCGCTTTTTGACTGTCGATTTAAACAGATAAAACTTGATTCGACTTATTATAATATTGGTTGAAATAAAGTCGGCTATTTCCATCTGCCTCAGTAGTCGGTACCATCTACCTCAGTAGTCGGTACCTTTAATGATCTCAGAAGTCGGTAATTATTTCCTTTCTGAAAGTTTATTTTACCGAATCAACTAATCACTGACTTTAATTCTCCAAAACCGAATCAAAACCAGGTCGGTTATCAACATAAATATTCATTATAGGATCTAAATGACACTATTTTATAACGAGTGAAATAAATATATAAATAATATATTAAATTATTATATATCATAAAATAAAAGAAAAAATAATTATTAATATTTAAAACTAACTAATCAATATTCCTTCATTGGTTTAATATATGCAATTATACTTATTGCCCCATGCATCGCACGAGCTATGTACTAATTAACATTAACTCAACTCCACTATCCTAAATATTATCAATATAGTTAAATAATAATAATCAATTATTTTTTACACATTAATTTTAATTCACTATTCATTCACTCATATAATTTTAACTAACATAAAATAATTTTACAGACAAAAATTCAACAAGATGGAAGAATGGACATGTTCAATCAGTGGCGGATTTACACATGGGCTAGCCCAGGCTGGATTTTTGTTGCTAAACATATGCTGTTATAATTTTCGAATAAATATTTAAGAAGAAAAGATAAAGTTGTAGAACTTGCGAGACATAATATAAACAATTTTAAGTTTTTTTTAATAGTCTATATAAAACGAAGTTGAGCATTATCTCTATGTTCTCTTCTATAATTAGATTTATTGAAATGATATTCGAAGATGGAGCTATTACTGATCAAAGAGGACAATGTAATTTGTTGATTGTGCAGATAAAAGATTTCATATGTTGTCTTCTTCTAATGAGACGAATTTTAGATGTAATGAATGAGTTATCACTAGAATTATAAATATTCTGAAGGGATGATCAATATATTGACAATGTTATGGATTTCGTTAGGGCAAGTAAGGTCGTGCTTGTTTATAAAAACCTAGAAAAAAATTGGTTCTTATTTTATTTTTTGTGTTAACTAGAGTTTATTTAATAAAGTTAGTATGGTTAGTTGTTGATGAAAAATTAAGAATTTATTAAAATAATATTTAAAATAAAACAATTAAAATTGATTTGATGTCAAAGTATGAGATAAATGATTAGAAATGATAGATGATTAAAATTATGTGGGTGGATGAATAGTGAATTAAAATTGATGCAGTGTGTAAGAATGGTTGAATTATATTATTTAATTATATTGATAATATTGAGGATAGTGAGATTGAGTTAAAGTCAAGTTAGATTTTGAACTGAGATAGATTTTTTTCTAGAAATTTGATAAACAAGCACGGTCTAAACAACTCAAAGAAATTAGAGAAGAAGAATGTGAATGGAAATTTTTTTTACACAAAGTAAATCTGCACGACATAAAAAATTTCAAGTACTTTTTTATTTTATATTGCCCTGGCTGATAAAATTTTTTGTATCCACCGCTATGTTGAATTATATTCAAAATACTGTTGTTAAAATTTTTATGGAANNNNAAAAAAAAAAAAAAAAAAAAAAAAGCAATAAAATCCTAAAAATGGTAGCTCAGATACGCCGGATGTTCATCTATATCATAAAGTGCGACAGACCCAACCATCGCAAGGCGCAATTATCATCATAGCTTTGCACCAGCCGGGAATCGAACCCGGGTCTGTACCGTGGCAGGGTACTATTCTACCACTAGACCACTGGTGCTTGTTGTTCTTAAATCGTATTTTTAATTCTAACTATATCGTCATTTTTCTGAACACCATCATACGACGCCGTTCAATGACTGAAGTTGTAGACAACTTTCAACTTTCTATCCATTGCAGCTACATTCATCGAGCTCCCAGAAAAACAAGAATGTCCTCTTCTCCCTTCCCTTCTCGTCTCCTACCTCTCCCTGCCAAACCGCCGCCGTCGCCGGCAACCTCAACCACGTTCTTTCGCCTGCTGGCGCCGGACCGGCCTTTCGGAGCCTCCACGAAAGCGTCCCGGTTCAAGTGCTCCGCCGGGGGGTCCGGCTTTTTCACCAAGCTCGGCCGGTTAATAAAGGAGAAAGCCAAGAGCGATGTGGAGAAAATATTTTATGGGTTCTCCAAGACTAGAGACAATTTAGCCGTTATTGATGAGCTCCTGCTTTATTGGAACCTCTCTGACACCGACCGGGTTTTAGATGAGCTGGAAGAGGTTCAAGATTTTAGCTTTCCTTTATTTTGTGTTTTTTCTTCAAGAAGATTGTCTATATGCTACTATTTCTCGCATGATTCTTTCTTTTCTCCCTCATCATATAAAGATTAGATATAGTTAAATGATTTTTGTTAATTTTTACAAACTTTTTAGAACATCATGGGAGAACACATCATATTACAGTCCAAATTTTAGATGGTATATGTCATCCAGGGCCTGTGTCGCATTTTTGTTTTCTATTACCCCATTAATTTGTTCAGTGCTCATGTTAGTACGGAAGTATCCATTGATGATTTGTTGTTAATGTTCTTTTATGCCTACAACTTAATCAATGTTTTGTTTCTGTTTTTTTTCTGCATTCAGGCATTGCTAGTTGCTGATTTTGGACCTAGGATTACTATAAAGATAGTGGAGAGCTTGAGGGATGATATATATGCCGGCAATCTCAAATCCGGCAGTGAAATCAAAGTAATGATTCTGACATTTTTTAATGAGTTATTGCTCTATTGGATGTCAGGTTAATACTTTTTTCTCATACTTTGCTAGCCTAATGTAGGATGCCTTGAAGAGGAGTATATTGAATTTGTTAACAGCAAAAGGGCTTAAAACTGAGTTGAAGCTGGGTTTCAAGTAAGAATTTACAATGAAAACTTATGCCGTTTTCTCATATTGAGTGCTACCGAGAGTTGCTAATTTATTGTCTTCACTAGGAAACCGGCTGTTATCATGATTGTTGGTGTCAATGGAGGTGGTAAGACTACATCTCTTGGTGAGTCCATTCAGGGGTTGATGAAATCTATTCTACATTTTTCTGATAATTCCAAATACTAACCTTAGAATTTAGGGTA